CAAGCACGGGTATACTTGGACCTATTCTCTCTCACCCCCGGGGCTTCACCTTCAGAAACACATGGATCCGAACATATACATAACAATATATACATATATGGAACGTCGTATGTCTCACATAACCCCAGTAATATATATTACTGGGGTTATGTGAGACAAACGACGTTCCAGCTCTCACGGCCACGTCGGTGTTTACGCTGCTAACAACGTACGCCAACATACATGTACTTGTATATATATATATATATATATATATATATATATATATATATATAGTGTGTGTGTGTGTACAACAGAACGAGGACTGCCTAGTATGTCACAGTCCCTGAATCATATTACTTTTCCTTTCGCCCAGCACTCATTGCAGTGCTATAGACTTTATAGAAGCAAGTCTAGATTTTCCATCTTAATCTCCCATCTCACTAGGACTCCTTTTAAAATAACTCTCACGGGCTAAGCGTTTGTGTACCGGACTGCAATGTGAAGAACGCATTAACCATTTGGTTCTCTCTCTGGTCATAATGATAATGATGATATAATTATTCGAGTTTGAGACAAAACAGAAACATATTCCCAGAGGATATAGGAATGGGTGCTGTCCGTCCACCCGTCACGTTTCGCTTCCGGAGCAGAACTAAAAAAAACATGAGATATATCTTAACCAAACCTGGCACATAGATAGGTCTAGTGTTGAACTGGTGGCTTGATAGTTTGGGATTTTTACAAAATTTATTTTTCGAGTTTCCATACATAGCAACGACTTTGACTTAGACCGAAAATGGTGGTAGTTCTCCTTTCCGGAGCAGATCTTGAAAACCGTACCATATGTTTTGCCTTGCACACCCCCGGCCATGTAATAGTGACGGGGCGTGTGAGTACTTCATGCTTGTTATATTAGTAGTATTCATTCTTAAGTTTCATTTTCAGTTCTAAATCTCGAATCCTTAAAATTCATCTTAACATTTTTGAATGCGTCTTTTTCAACATCCATCTGACTTACAAGGATGCATTTGCTTAATTCGTTTGCTTTAGGAGATATCAGTCAATATATTCAACTATTTCAGTTACTGCTTCAAGATCTGTATGCGTGTTATAAACAAGCAAGTTTATTCAGAATTAAATCATTACAGAAACGCGGAGCCTCAAGTAAGACATTTATATTGTCCGTCAAAAGCGAAATCCAAGACGTGTTGACGAACCTTCACCTTATATCATTCTAAATCATTTTCGTTTCATTACTATTCCAGAATTTGAATTTCAAAAAAGGGAAAAAACGAAGTATATGTGTAGAAACAATACTAACGTCCGCTCGGAAACACACCTTCATGAGCACACCTAACTGTCTTCCGTTACACCTCGCTATAACGCGCAGTCACGCTAAGCCAAGAATGCGGTGATGACGAAACCGTTTGTGGATCGCAAATATGCTGAACGCCGTTAAAAGCGTATCGTTGAGCTGAGAGGGGAATAAAGATGTAGGAAATTTGTTGTATGAAGTTTATACGTCTGGGAAACAAAAAATCAGCGAACAGGTGCCATGAAATATACATTTGACAAGCTGTCAATTTTGCTGTCCTTGATTCGAAAATGGCCAAGGCAATTTAGGTTTAAGGGGGTGCGTATATGTACATACCTGGAAAGTGACATGCATGTGTTGAAATACAGAAACGGATTATATAATATCCTCTAAATGTCGTCTTTGATTCATACGACGTGACCCAGTACTTGCGACCATGCGGGGTAACATTCAGTGCTCTTTCAACAGCTAGTGGTGTATCGAAGACATTTATTTTTCCTAGGGTATTCAAGATATTTTCACTTCCGTGGGGGCAGTTTCTAAATTTTGTCCTGCCTAAAGTGTGTCAGATCTTGCGTAAACTCAAATATTACGATGTATACAATCATGTCAACAAGTTACTATAAGCATGTTGTATAGTATATATAGCGCTCTTGTACAATACTCACTGCAGTATGACTGTGATGGCTACATTCCTTCAGTTAAAGGACCGACCATTTGATATTCTGTGTGTGTGTGTATGTGTGTGTGTGTGGACATTTTTTCAGCTTCAGTTGCAAGACCAGATATGTTTTTTTAGTTACAACTATCAGCTTGAATAATTTATTGAACACCTTAAATCGATGTTATTTTTGTGGCAAACAATTTTTTTCAATAGTCTGAAGCATAATGTTTTGTTAAAAAATTGTCCAGGTCATTATTTTGTTAATTCGATAAAAGCTGGAGCTGAAGAGGCCATATGGGTTAAATACGCAGTGTCGTTACACTTACATGGGTTTAACATGTCTCTCTCTCTCTCTCTCTCTCTCTCTCTCCAAGCCACATTAGAACCGTGATCAGTACCCATACTCTGCAGTCATTGTTAGCCATCCAATACTCACTGACCCAGAAGTTTGACGTAATGGATACCGATTCTGAGGGAACATTTGACAAATAGAGAAATTACCTGAAGGTTGCTGTAAAACCCCTGACGATAGGCATACGTGTTTCCTATGTGGTGGTTACAGGTCAGGGAGACCGTTTCCGTGGTCCAGTCGTAGAGCGTCCGCCCGGAGAGCGGTAGGTCGTGTGCCCGGTCCCCGGCTGCGTCATACCAAAATACGTTAAAGATAGTACTTGTTGTTACCCTGCCTGGCGCTCGGCATTAAGAGGATAAAACAAGGACTGGTTGGCTCGGAGTCAGTGTATGGTGTCTGAGTTTGGTATTCATGTTAAACTGCGGTATGGAATCTCAGTGGACTAGCATTATAAAATCGGCATTAGTACCCCATACCACCTCCCCTCACAGTTCAGGATAAAGGTCTCAAGCGACCCAACTGTGGATCGTATGTTCGACGACTTGGTTGATGGAATGTCTATGTGTCGTATCCCATTTGCATATATCAGTGCTCATGATATTGATCACTGGATTGTCCGTCAAGACGGATTATTTACACACCACCGTCAGGTACCTGGAATTGCGGAGTGTGGCGTTAAACAACAAACAAAGAATACTTATTATTAGTAGCTGTGGCCATATTGAATACTAATATATAGATCGAAATTCTGAAGTAAAAGAAAAAAGTAATCGTATATTTATATTATTATGAATTATAGTTCGACAACGGGGAAAGTGCCATGCGAACAGTGGGAGTGTTACAGATTTATCCCGATGGCCCACATGTAATATTATCGAATCTGGATCAGAGGGACCATGTGGCTGATGCCGTTAACTATACCAAAGCCATGGTGTCGGGGTATGATGCACAATTCAGACAATATGTAACTAGACAATCTGCGTCAACACTGCGGGAAAAGCATGGAGAGCACACTTGGGACCAATTCTTCCCCGGAAACTCCACAGGGGAGTCGACGGCAAGTTACCAAACCTTGTAAAGCCAGCCAATCCCCAATGTCGACTCCTACAGAAAATGATATCGTCTACTAGGGAGGGGGGGGGGGGGGGGGGGGGGGGTGGGGGTTGTTGTACTGTTTGTACACCCGTTTTTTCAGTGAAACCAATCCCGATTGTGCATCGTTCAATTGTCCGTAACCACACTCGGCGGTTGTTTATTACCAGCATCTCTTGGTCTAATGCTCCTGTTATTAGTTAGAGTGTTATTATTCACAATCATAACGACACAAAAAAGCCCATGTGGAGAAATCAAACATTATTACAAACATGATTTCCATATTTTATTCTCTAAAAATAGATAAATAAGTAAACAAAATAAATTAAGCGAAACCACGGAGCATCGCAGCGTGAACTTTGGCCATTTTACTTTGTTTTACTCAGCGGGAGTCTAGACAAGTGGCGTCCAAGCTCGATTTATTAACCTCCAAAACTGTAATTCACCAAGGGTTAGCTGAAATTCACTCCCTATAAACAAACGGGTCATAATATGTCCAAACAGGCGTAAACATGCGCGTTATACCGAGGCAGGAGCGTGTGACAGGCCGACGATAAATCTTGGCGTGCGAGCGGTCCCGGCGTGTTGGCCGTGGCTCCTCTAGTGTGCAGTGGCGTCAGTGGGTCGCTGTTGTGACGCTACTTCTACCTTCGTATGATATATAGTCCCTGCAGGCATACAGCGTCATTAAACGTACTCTGTAGGTCGCCAGCCAGCCCCCTTGTTCGCCTGGACTCAGAAGAGGGTAGTTAAACCATGCGAATTAACTGGGGTCACTATTTTAATGTCTCGTCATGCCAAAAGTCAACTTTCTCGGTTGAGACAGTTGGTCTACCTGAAAACGAGATTCGACTCATTTCGTGTTAAATCTGGATTTAAATCTGCAATTTCAGTAAGAGAATTAAAACAAGTTCGTAAATAGAATTATGGTTATAAACGAATATTCCTTGGAAGAATCGCGAATTTGCGGTTCATAAACCTCTGCGCTGTATCCTCTAGTGGTATGTATCGCAAGCTGAAATCTGTCGTCTGCTTGAAGTCAAGAAACAGACGAATCCACTTTGTGATAGAAGGAGGGTGTGTAACACATTGATATGACGTTATCACAAATCTACTAAGTCCATGGCGAGCCAACTCATAGAAATCTCGGGCTTCTGGTAGGTAATACGATCTCCCAGGTAAAGCTACGTCCGAGTCTACAAGATAAAGGGGTAAGATGCGACAACGGTGGGGGACCGTTTCGCACAATGATTTCTCCCTGAGGCGGCACGTCCTTCGACCATGTGTTCAGCTAGCCGTAAACATGGCGAGATAGCGAGAAGTAGCCACACACTTTCTTCTCTCACACGGTTATATCCATAGCAAATTGCACTTCAAAATGAAAATTGTGCTCTCTAAAACACTGTCCCATGGAAAATACTTGCTTCGAACTCAAGTTAGGCCGATAGAAGCAGTAATTTGATATGTTATTTGCGCAACAATCATAGTCGACATCAGCCGCGCCAAAAAGTCTAGACACCCACGTGCTACATCTTGGCCAATCAGCGTGCAGCTTTTGTGAAGCCGTATGAGAGTGAGAAGGGTTTACTTAGCAATGACAAAGGGGAGGTGGTGGTTGTTGTTTTAACATAAAATCGTGCATTTATAAGATCATGCTCATTACGGAACCTAATCAACTGTTCTTAGTTGTATGTGCGCATATGCAAGGCGGAATTATCCCTTTCTGCGTGCAGAGGTGACTTGACAGTGACCCACTGAGGTAGTTTTACCTGTCTACCCTGAAGGTGTAGTCGACTCGGCTGTGGCCACTGTACATTGCAGTGTTATGAGGGTTTACGTAGAAGAAGGCAACAAATTGTTGGATTTCAACTGTTTATTGTGAAATATTTTCAGTAACAGGACCGAGGAAGGAAAAAAAGGAGTTAACGTGTGTTTTGGGTTGATTCTGTGGAGGATTCAATGGGAGTATATCGTGGGAGTTGTTTGCTGGTCAGTGAGCCTACAGCCAGGCAAATGTGAGCACATTTCACCGGTTGGGTTGGAAGGATCAAGGGTGATCGTTGTTGTTATTTACCAATAGTGTAGAGCAAGTTGGGAGACTGTAGTGGAGTGTTGGCGGCTATGATGCTAGGCATAGCGTGGGATAACCTATGCCTTATGCTGTATGTTTCGGTCTAAAAGACACTCCCTCGTGAAACGGCTGTGGAAACACCGTCTTATTAACGATGAAACCCAAAGTGCGACTGAAACTCCAGAGGAATTGGAATTAAAATCTGTGGCCCACACAATGCTCAAAAGACTCAAGGAAAAACAGCTGGATATCCTTGTCCAGTCTGTTGAAAGCAAGGGTGGTGAAAATACGGAATGTGTGTTGTTACCGAAAGAACACGTTCGAGTCGGACGGCGGTCGTTCTCTCATCACAACCTGTGTTGTCGACTTTGGCGATGGCCGGACCTTAGCCAAGAGGCAGAATTGAAAAGATTGTCTTGTTGCAATACCGTGAATGATCCAGGCTACGTCTGTTGTAACCCGTATCATTGGAGTCTGCTTCTCAAACCAGGTATGATGTCAGTCCTCACCGCCCCGTCAGCGACCTCCGCTCAGCGCGGCCATATTTGTTTTTACTTGTGCTATGAGTGGTTGAATGCAAGGTTTAGACCCAAGGTTTATCATAATATAACACTCCAAGACTTTGCCTTTTCTCGACAACGCTCTCTTATGTATGTACATAACTTAGTTATTTGTCTAACATTGACGAGGGGCCGCTATGAGACGCTTGTCAGGCGACCGCGTATTCCTTTTCACATTGCGTCAAAATTTACAAATCTTGTATTTTGTCGTTTTCTTGTGAATTACACATTCTTGAGAGCAACCTCGTGGTACTTTCAGGCTGCATCTCGCTTGTGATTCAATCTAAACGCAAAACGCAACAAATTCAATTCGCGAATTGCTTCAAAACAACTCGCTGTCAAATTTTGACAAGTATTGTTATAGTAAACGAAACATTTTTTTCTCAGCGTTCCGAATCTGGAAAAGTTTACGCATATTTTATTGATTATCTTCGAATTGTAACATTTTCCCACGTCGAGCTATAGGCTTATTAGGTAAAACTTGCGATTGTTGTAAATTACGGGTAAGCTGATTTCTCTTGACGGGCCACAGTCGGACTGAATTAATGATAACATCAATGGCTAAATAGTAGACCCCATGCTCGGCATTCTTACAGCGGGTAATTTCAAAAATACTTCATAACTTCTTTATTTTTTTCCACTTAGTTTTGAGACTGTGTTCTAAATGCAGTAACCCGCCGTAGGCTGGGAGTCTCGGGTCTGAATTCGACTGGACACACGTCTCGTAGGCTAAGCCTCCCAACAGACAAGCAATTATAGTGTGGCGCCAGTAGAGCTCTTACACTGTTTATCACATGTCTTGCCAGCATATTGGCGTGACTTCATCTCTGGGCTTTTACCAACCCGACTGCTTTCTTTCAGATACCACGGTCGCAGACCAAACTCGAACACACGAACAGATTGAACGAGTAAAAATTACAGGTGAGGGGAAAAATTAAAAATTAATTAAACTGCATATCGACATTATTATTGATTATTTTATTTCTCGATTTAACAGTCATGTGTAGTTCAACAGAATTGTTTTGATTTCAAAATTAAATAAATGTTGGATTTTTCAAACACAGTCGTGTTTTGATATTATTTAAATCTTCAAATTAAAATGACTTTCATTGTAACAGACATGTTTACAATGATTGCTAAGATGAAAAAGATCTACAGGAATTTATTAATATTTAGGTTCCTCGTGATTGTTTAAATATATCCCCTACAAGAAATAATAGTCAACATTTAAGGATACGCTATACCTGAGGCAAGTATAACCAAAAATGCAATTTTTATCACCAGCTCTATGATGCAATGCTATAGGAAGAGAAAGAACACTACCTTTGACTCTACTAGTCAAAAAGAACATTGTATAAATAAAACATGCAACCAAGGTTTGGATATTAAATGATATAACATTTATCCAATGGTTTGTATTGGTGTAGAAACTACCTTCCTCTAAGTTGCAGAAAATTTCATGAACAGAACACTTGAAATTATGTTCTAATCAAATAGACATAGTTCCTATTTGTTAGATAATTGTAACAGTGTCACAATATATGTAACTACAGATGATTATATTTATATTTCAAACCACATACTAAGAATCGAGTTCTTCAAATGATGGGCTCCAGGATGATGACCTCTTTGATACAGTGTCTCACTGGAAATACTACGTGTGCAATGAATGTGTCAGTCCACACATGTTGTTATTTATTAGTTTAAAAACCCATTTTGTTTACATTGAAATTCCAGCAATTTGTGATGTGGTAAGTGAGTTTGTTAAACCATCCTCATGTTTACACAGGAATACACAGCGGTAGAGCTGACTCGTGATATTCACAATCAACGTCTTTCTCATATAAGTTAGATTTGCGGCATATTTTAAATAGGTTATTCACCCGAATGAACACCAAACAATATTTGGGGATAGCCAAGCTAGAGAAAGCATGCCACGCTCCGTTTAGCCCAGGCCTCTATGCGTACTAACTGAAGAGCCACTGAGCCTCGATTAATACACTACTCAACGACGATAGATTGCCCTTAAATCCTAAAAAAATCAGTTTACTCAAGTGATAAGAAAACATGGAATACGAAGGGCTCGCTTTCAATCCTTGTGTTTCAAGAAGCCTGTGGTTTTGAAGTCGCTGATTTTAAACTTCAAGGTTGATGAGACATATTTGAAATACTCTCTTATTTTTGTTAGTGCTGAGATTTGCTTTTAACTCAATCCGTTAACAGGATAAATGTATTCGTCAATAAAACACAATTTTGAAATTACCATTCTAGTAATTATGAGAGGCATTCCTGCACTCAAGGACAGTTTTGTTATGCTATGTAAATTGCAGATTGATTTTCTTAGTCTTGAAATAATTATTTTAAGATGTGATCAGGAAAACCCCCGATTATTTATTGATTTTGTGTTTATCAATATTTTTATTTTTGTCAACTTGTGTCCTCTGTACAAATAGACCATTTCGGTAAAACAGAGTTAAGGATGAATTATTTGGTAACTTGACAGAAATTCAATATTCCATTAATTTTTTAAATAGGACCATTTACATACATGATCATCAATCTCTTGTAATGAGATCACCATACATCGTCTACAGCTCTTCTCAGATGGTCATCTTCCTTGTTATATTAGGTTGAAAATCATTGTTGCACTTTGGACACTTTTGTAGTCTGTAACTGTTTGATAATATACTTGGTGAGAGAATTAAAAGTTGACATCACATCAGCAATATATCATCTGAGTGATAAGCTTTACATGGAGTTGGTGAATGTTACCTCAAATTATGCCTTAAATACAATTTATAAAGGAACATTTTCTTCTTTCTTTGAAGAATATTTTGAAAGGCTTCTTTCTATTTGTAATGGTTAGTTAATTGTTTATAATGATTTTTTCTAAAATAGTAAATCAGTATAGCAGGCCTTCACAGATGGAGTTGATTTGAAAACATGAAGGAATATAATTCACTTTGGTATGTGATGTAAATGGTTTGCCGTCACTATTATCCGGCAGGCTTTATTTAATATTGAGGATAAATATGACATAATTAGTGATGAAAATAGAGAAAGGGAGTTTGTATGGTTTGCTCTGTCTAACCATACTCAGCTGTGTATGAGACCAATGTCTCTAATGATCTTATCACGCTCCTGTCAGATCCAGGGGACGGCAGGTTATTGGAGTGGAGCGCCAAGCTACTTGTTCCGACAGCTATGTAGACATCGGTGATGTGATTATCACTGACGGAAGTGCAGCACTTGACTCTTAAAATGATCTATGTCCGATCATAGGAAATGTGGCTTCAACTCTTTATTACCAATAGACTGTAGGACTCTAGGGTGAGCCCTTGTAATTGTGTTAAACTGCCTGCCTGCTCAGCCCTGGAGGGAGGGTAGGGGTGCTGTACTCGGCAGCATAGGGGAATTTAGCTTACCTTTGCCTTCATTCACTAATCAACACCAATATCGGGGGGGCTAGTTCTATTTGAGTTATTTTAATTTGAAAACTAGGTTTGGAGCTGGATATTGTAAGAGTGAGTTCGGTTCTGTTTTGATTTAAGTTTTTCTGCTTGTGTTTTGTTAACTAAGTTAAGGTTGTAATGATATGAAAAGCCTGTTAGATTATTTCCTTCAATTTGTTCCTAAACCCTAAATTTTGAGTATTGTCCACAGAAAATAATTCTTATTTAATTTTGTAAAGTGTTTCAATATTTTTCATTTGGACTCTCTTGGTATAAACATAATTTGTGATACTAATTTTTTAAGATGTTTTCTCTTTGATTAATTTCTATTCAGGTATGATGAATATATAACTGATGCTAACTAAATAGCTGCTTCTCATTACAGATGAGCTTCTACGTGTTAACGAGTCAACAGAAACGGGTATGACGCCGACCACAAGAAGGTGTACCTATTCAGGTGAGTACTTCATTAACATGATGGGACCGTAACAATGCAATACATGTCCCCTGACTTCACTTTTACCAGCTCGTCATGAAATAATTATACAGGGTTGGAAGTCAGTGCCCAGACTCCATGGATACTTACAAGAAGTTAAAGGCACAACATGTATCATATGTCTCTAGCGATCAGGGTTAGAAATTGGCACTAGTCCTGTAGTCCTTGCCAAACTGCCCAATAGTAAAGGTATCCTAAGGACTTGTAGAATTTTGACATTTTTAAAGGTTTTGCTATATGCTATCATTATAAGGACTAGTGGATTGAAACTGTTAGTTTCTACCGCTGTCGATATGTCTCCATCGGCAGGCTGTATTTAGAGGTGTACCTGGATCATGTAGAGAGCTTTGAATTTCCGAGTGGCTTTCTCAGCACAAATCTTTCCATTTGAACTGTTGGCATGGTTGTGAAATGTGAAAAGTTGCTCTCGTATAGGTGAAATTGAAATAGCAAAACTTGGCTGGGGAAAAGAATTGTCTAGATTGCTGATAACGGGTTTTTTTTAATTATGAAAACTGTTGACAGTACCCAGGTAATTTAAGGGTGAGGTTTAAGGTGATGCTTACAAGTTCGCAAGAGTTCTGCCATGTCCAGATGAGCTTGCAGATAGCAAAGTGAAGTGTTAGGTCGTCATGAAGAAGGCTGGTCTTCAGCAGGACTCACGGAATATGCAAGCATTGGACTGTCACTGCCCCTTAAGACCTGTACATTCATCCAGACTTGATATTCATGGATGAAAAATGGGAAGTAGATAGAATGAGAGCCTGATTTCCAGCAGTCTCAGAGTCTCTGAGTCTTCACATCTCCCATTTATGTTATCCTATTAGTTTGAGAACTCTGCTTAGGCACAATTTGCTAGGTCAGAAATACATCTTGTCTGTCAATAGTGCTCCACAATATCAGAGTGTCACAGTACTCTGCCGAGAGAAACTACCGAGTTCTGTTAACTTCCGACATAACACAGACTAAGAAATACTTGTTTTGTCACGATTGCTATTTTGCAGAGCTCCAGATAACTTTTTGAGCAATTGAGTTTTTACTCCAGTGTTTCTATTTTAATTGGGTTACTACATTTTTCATTGGGTAACCAATATTTTTTCACTCATCTATTATTCATCACTCTATTAGGTTTTTCCTAAAATTAGTGCACATTTTCAGATTAAAAAAAATTAAATAATGTTTTAGATGTATATAACTGTTCTAAATATATAGGGTTGACTCGGAAAGTAAATTAGCTCGTAATTTTGTTTCGGAAATTCGCTCCTTTGTACGCATCCTGAAAAAGCTACATTGGGTATTTACGGGTGCTGTTTTTATAAATTTGTGTTTTTCATTTAATGCATGCGTTTCTGTACGCAAGTTAATTGAAATTGATTGGGTTTTGAATATTTTTGGGGTGTATTTTACACAAATATGCTGCTTGTCTGTAGCTCTGTATTTTGTATCCAATATCGGTGAAAGTTTCACTTGAAAACGCATTGAGTACATGAACAGATGGAGTATGGGACTGACAGAGGACTCCATAGTGGTGTAGATATCAAGAAGATAATGTAGGAGAATCTGAATGAAGGTGTTGGATAAACGTGAAAGTGTCCTGCATTAATGTTATTGTTAAGTTCAACATGTTCAATATGACACTAGTGTATAGTCTTACAACTTACAACTTGTGATGGACAGAACAGTTGGGTAGAACCTGACTTAGAATGCTAAAGGATGACTGTGTTTTGAGTGAACTGAATTGTATCCTTGTGCTTAGACAACATATGTGGCAGACATGATGCAATATATTGGAGAATCTTAGACAATTTATCAAAGATACACACTTGCATTTTACCTCCTGGCTTACTGTCTGTGGCCATCATCTATATGTGTAACACCACAACCACCTGACTTGGGCATCACAAGGATGGTCACGTCGGAGTGTCACATCCCGGCACCATTATGGTATCACGAGGATGGTCACTTCGGAGTGTCACATCCCGGCACCATTAAGGCATCACGAGGATGGTCACGTCGGAGTGACATCCCGGCACCATTATGGCATCACAAGGATGGTCACGTCGGAGTGTCACATCCCAGCACCATTATGGCATCACAAGGATGGTCACGTCGGAGTATGACATCCCGGCACCATTAAGGCATCACAAGGATGGTCACGTCGGAGTATGACATCCCGGCACCATTAAGGCATCACAAGGATGGTCACGTCTGAGGGTCACATCCCGGCACCATTATGGCATCACGAGGATGGTCACGTCAGAGTGACATCCTGGTACCATTATGGCATCAGGAGGATGGTCACGTCGGAGTGTGTCATCCCGGCACCATTATTGCATCAGGAGGATGGTCACGTCGGAGTGTGTCATCCCGGCACCATTATGGCATCACGAGGATGGTCACTTCAGAGTGTGTCATCCTGGCACCATTATGGCATCACGAGGTTGGTCACGTCAGAGTGTCACATCCCGGCACCATTATGGCATCACGAGGATGGTCACGTCAGAGTATGACATCCCGGCACCATTAAGGCATCACAAGGATGGTCACGTCGGAGTATGACATCCCAGCACCATTATGGCATCACAAGGATGGTCACGTCAGAGTGTGTCATCCCGGCACAATTATGGCATCACAAGGATGGTCACGTCGGAGTATGACATCTCGGCACCATTATGGCATCAACGTTGGATGGTCACGTCGGAGTGTGACATCCCGGCACCATCATGGCATCAACGTTGGATGGTTATTAGTTGATCAAAGTGGAAACATTAGTTGTGTACCTCAACTTTCCAAAAAACAAATTGACATGGAAATGTTGATAGTGATAGCATTTACAATATTTGAAAAGGAAAATTACTATGAGTGCATGTTTAAGCAATAATGTTTGCATTGTGATCAGTAGAGGTACGCTGGCAGAATGTGTTTTATCAGATGTGCTACAGGGTATGAAGGGTGTTAAGCAGTATTAAGTGTGCCCTTTGGCATTTAGTGTGCCAACCAGAATACTACTTCTGATCCATCTTCACTATTGGTGACTGTCATCTTACCATGAACTAGATAACTAGATAAGCAGGAATAATTTGGAAAGTTTGCCCCTTCCTTGATATTGAGACCGATAATACTTTTTTCTATCTCCAATCCCCAGGTTTATTTTGTGGATCCCGTTGTGAATTTAGTTCATGTGTTTGTCCAGTTGACTTGAGGAAGTGTATTTATTACTAGCTTCATGTTATGTAATATTTTGTTAAAAAACATTTCTGTGTGCCACCAAGAGCTTACTTTAGCTGTGTTATTATGATCTTAATCATGCCAAAAATTGGCAACTCTTGTACAAGGAATTTAACACCCTGAGATTATGGCTGTAACTATAAGGAATTTGAAACTACCTATCTTCATTGATCTTGAAATCTGTTAAACATAGAGCTCCTTACACTGAGAAAAGCATGCCTGCCGACTCCAGCCATCCTGCTACTGCTACTGCTACCTGTTTTCAGGGAGCGGAGATAGATGTTATGTTTAGATGGAAGACATATACTTGTCTCCTGTTGTCACAAGTTGGATTGATTTATTTGCTATTTATCTGCTAGTGTGCCTGAAGCTGCTGGAGACCGGGTCGTTAGATACACTGGGATGTCCGCTCTGACAGGTGTTTGGACACTCGTATGTAGGATGGCTTGGGGTTCTTTCAAATTTTGTACTTTAATAAAACCTGTTTGAATTCTGCATTGGAATGTACATATTCTATGTTTTTGAATACAGGATCATTGTTTGAAGTTGCATGAAACAGTTTAATGCTTGTCTGTAGTCAGGAGGAATATCAGTATTGACAATAGGGGTGTAGCAATTCACATTGTGTTCTGTGCATCGCAATTCTCTGTACAAATATGGTATTGGTAGTTCATGTATTGATACATCAAGACACAAAAATATCATAAACATAATATGTAAAAAGGAATAAGCAAAAATTGTGAAATACTATTTCCTCCTCGTTTGAAACAGGCCAACCTGCTATTCAAATGTTTCCACACCATGTTGTAACATGTCCAGTATTTCAGGTATAGTGCAGCCTTACACGGCCCTGCTATAGTACTGACATAGGTATCGTGACACAACAAAGTGTGTCTTTACACCCCTGACAATGTAACAGTCTGAAGGTGGATAGTGTGCCCTGGGAACTGTTCATTTCCAGATACCATATTTACGCTACACTCCCTATTTGTTGAATCTAGTTTACGATTCTGAAAAAAGCATTCTCCAGAAACATGAGCCCCTTCTTGTGAAATCATTGAAAGTTTATGTGGTCTATTTTGAAGTAATGTCTTACCTTGAAAAAGCCTGATGCAACTTTAAATTTTAACTCACTCACTGGACCAACCAACCAAATGTGGGGCTGTGACAAGGTATTAACTTCTAGATTCACATCATTTGTCCTTAGTTCTATGGTACTAAATGGATGACAGTTTCTTCCATTGGTAGTTGGCATTACCTCACTAGACTTTTGGTTAACAAAACAGGAAATATGTTAATGTTTAACAACCCTTGTATTTACTAAACCATTCATGTTTTTGTTTTTTTTCAAAATAATCCCTGTAGGAATCTAATATTAAAACACATGTATGACTAGGAGAGCTTTTTCCATTCTTCAGACTCCTGTACGGACTAAGCCTGTAGAAGTGAACCACTCTGTAACTGGGGAAGTACTTGACTTGAATACCCAGTACTTTTCAGTGGTTAAATGTTTGCTGGGTCTAGGCGAGTCTAAATTCATTTTTAATGACTTTTAAGTCAAATTTCATTATCCTGTGTTTTATAATTAATGATGTAGTTGGCCTCTATGAAATCATATGTCTTAATGCCACCACAAACAGCAAACTGGACTGGGTTGTTTAGTATTACTGTTGCATGAACTCTTGGCTGCGTATAGAATAGAAATAAATATTTATTAAAGGATGTAACCACAA